CTTTTCCCTGGACTCCCTCCCGGCTAGCCGTGGTGCACTAACCCCTTTGGGCTATGTTCAAGCCGCCAACTCCAGTCCTCTCCCTGCGCTCCGACGAAACCCGAGCCTCGGCTCGCAGCCCCGCCCGTCCCGGCCGGTGAGCACACAAGCCTCTCGGGCTGGCGAGTGCCGGTCGGCACCGATCCTCTGTGCGGGAATCTCTCCGCTTTGCCCTCCGCGCCCCTGTTGCTGTGCTCTCCTCCGCGGCTCCGAAGCTCCCCGCTCCGCCTCCCGCAATCTCTGCCCGCGAAGGGGCTTCCTAGTGTGTGGAGACCTTTCCTCCTTCACAGCTCCCTCCCACTGGTGCAGGTCCCATCCCTATTCTTTTGTCTCTGTTTATACTTTTTTGTTTTGCCCTACCCAGGTACGTGGGGAGTTTCTTGCCTTTTGGGAGGTCTGAGGTCTTCTGCCAGCATTCAGTAGGTGTTCTGTAGGAGTTGTTCCACATGTAGAGGTATTTCTGGTGTATCTGTGGGGAGGAAGGTGATCTCCGCATCTTACTCCTCCGCCATCTTTCCACAACCCCCTGTTGGAAGATTTTTAATCACAGTTTCAATTTCAGTGATTGTGGGGGCTGTTCAAATTTTCTATTTCTTCCTGGTTCAGTCTTGGAAGGTCATACCTTTCTAAGAATTTGCCCATTTCTTCCAGGTTGTCCATTTTATTGGCATAGAGTTGCTTGTAGTAATCTCTCATAATCTTTTTTATTTCTGCAGTGTCAGTTGTTACTTCTCCTTTTTCATTTCTAATTCTATTGATTTGAGTCTTCTCCCTTTTTTTCTTGATGAGTCTGGCTAATGGTTTATCAATTTTGTTTATCTTCTCCAAGAACTAGCTTTTAGTTTTATTGATCTTTGCTATCGTTTCCTTCATTTCTTTTTCATTTATTTCTGATCTGATTTTTATGATTTCTTTCCTTCTGCTATGTGTGGTTTTTTTTGTTGTTGTTGTTCTTCTTCTTTCTCTAATTGCTTTATGTGTAAGGTTAGGTTGTTTATTCGAGATGTTTCTTGTTTCTTGAGGTAGGATTGTATTGCTACAAGCTTCCCTCCTAGAAGTGCTTATGCTGCATCCCATAGGTTTGGGTCCTCGTGTTTTCACTGTCATTTATTTCTAGGTATTTCTTGATTTCTACTTTGATTTCTTCAGTGATCTCTTGGTTACTCAGTAGTGTATTGTTTAACCTCCATGTGTTTGTATTTCTTACAGCTTTTTTTCCGTAATTTTTATCTAGTCTCATAGCATTGTGGTCAGAAAAGATACTTGATATGATTTTAAATTTCTTAAATTTACCAAGGCTTGATTTGTGACCCAATATATGATCTATCCTGGAGAATGTTCCATGAGCACTTGAGAAGAATGTGTATTCTGTTCTTTTTGGATTTGATGTCCTATAAATATCAATTAAGTCCATCTTGTTTAATTAATCATTTAAAGCTTGTTTTTCCTTATTTATTTTCATTTTGGATGATCTGTCCATTGGTGAAAATGGGGTGTTAAAGTCCCCTACTATGATTGTATTACTGTTCATTTCCCTTTTTATGGCTGTTAGTATTTGCCTTATATAGTGAGGTGCTCCTATGTTGGGTGCGTAAATATTCACAGTTGTTATATCTTCTTCTTGGATTGATCCCTTGATCATTATGTAGTGTCCTTCTTTGTCTCCTGTAATAGTCTTTGTTTTAAAGTCTATTTTGTCTGATATGAGAATTGCTACTCCAGCTTTCTTTTGATTTACATTTGCATGGAGTATCTTCTTCCATCCCCTTACTTTCAGTCTGTATGTGTCTCTAGATCTGAAGTGGGTCTCTTGTAGACAGCATATATATGGGTTTTGCTTTTGTATCCATTCAGCCAATCTATGTCTTTTGGTTGGAGCATTTAATCCATTTACATTTAAGGTAATTATCGATATGTATGTTCTGGTTACCATTTTGTTAATTGATTTTTAAATTTTAGGTCTTTTCCTTCTCTTGTGCTTATTGCCTAGAGAAGTTCCTTTAGCATTTGTTGTAAAGCTGGTTTGGTGGTGTTGATTTCTCTTAGCTTTTGCTTGTCTGTAAAGCTTTTAATTTCACCTTCACATCTGAATGAGATCCTTGTTGGGTACAGTAATCTTGGTTGTAGGTTTTTCTCTTTCATCACTTTAAATATGTCCTGCCACTCCCTTCTGGCTTGCAGAGTTTCTGCTGGAAGATCAGCTATTTATCTCATGGGGATTCCCTTGTGTGTTACTTGTCGTTTTTCCCTCGCTGCTTTTAATATTTGTTCTTTGTGTTTAATATTTGATAGTTTGATTAATATGTGTCTTCGCGTGTTTCTCCTTGGATTTATCCTATATGGGACTCTCTGTGCTTCCTGGACTTGATTAACTATTTCCTCGCGTCCTTCTCTGGAGCTCCTTTAAGCAGCGCTCTTAATCCTCTCTCCTGGCGCACCAGTTAACAAAGAGGCAAGAAAAAGTCTCTTGTCTCCTCGGCAGCTCCAGACTTTTTCCCGGAGTCCCTCTCTGCTAGCTGTGGCACACTAGCCCCCTTCAGGCTATGTTCATGTAGCCAACCCCAGTCCTCTCCCTGGATCTGACCTCCGAAGCCCGAGCCACAGCTCCTTGCCACCGCCCGCCCCGGCGCATGAGCAGACAAGCCACTGGGGCTGGTGAGCGCTGGTCAGCACTGATCCCCTGTGCGGGAATCTCTCCACTTTGCCCTCTGCAGCCCTTTTTCTGCGCTCTGCTCTGTGGCTCCGAAGCTCCTACGTTAACCACCAGCAGTCTCCACACATGAAGGGGCTTCCTAGTGTGTGGAAACCTTGCCTCCTTCACAGCTCCCTCCCACTGGTGCAGGTCCCATCCCTATCCTTTTGTCTCTGTTTTTTCTTTTTTCTTTTACCCTACCCAGGTCCTTGGGGAGTTTCTTGCCTTTTGGGATGTCTGAGGACTTCTGGCAGCATTCAGTAGGTGTTCTGTAGTAGTTGATCCACATGTAGATGTATTTCTGATGTATTTGTGGGCAGGAAGGTGATCTCCATTTCCTACTCTTCTGCCATCTTGAAGCTCCTCAGGAGGAAATAATTTGAGGAAGGCAGCTAGGTGGTCAGCATTTTCTTCTGCTAACTTACCTCTGATTTTTAATGGCATTTTATCTCATGTAAGTGTGTGTGTGTGTGTGTGTGTGCGTGCACGCGTGTGTGTACACATATTTAATTAAATAAACACACAAGTCCATTTTCATTCTATTTCTATACTAGAGGTCACTTGAGTTGGCCCTATGATTCACCACGTACTTATTCAATAAGTATTTTGTCCATAGCTAACCCTGGAAACAAACAAGTGACTATAAATACGTTCTCAGGATTTCTAAAAATTCTCCACTCTGAAGCAGGTTTTTGAAGGTGGACCAAAAGACCACAGTCACCCTCCTTGAGCTTGCTGCAGAGCGTCTGCTGAATTATGAGCCTGCAGCTATCCATGCCCTGGACGAAATCCCAAGAGACCTCTTTGTTCCATTGTTCAACGCTGCCTTCTCTGATGGGCATAAGACCATAGTAAAGGCAATGGTGAGGGTTTGGCCTTTTCGCTGTCTCCATATTGGGTCACTGAACACACGGGAATCATACTATGACATCTTGGAAGCCATGATTGATGGTCTGCAGATCCTCCCTGCCCAGAACTCTTCCTCTTGGTAAGACTATGACCAGCAGAGACACAGGGAGTCAGCAGGAGTGTATGCTGTAGCCTGGAGCAGGGGAATACCTAACGGTCTCCCAACAGTAGCCAGTGGTGAATACTGCAGTCTTTGCAGAGCTGTCGGTCCTTCGGGACTCTGCTGTCTTATAGAGTTGATTATAGAATAGAGGTGTTTGAGGATACTATGGATGGATTTGAGTACGATTACACAGAAGTGGAATATGGACATTGAGACAGGGAAAGACGGGAGGTGAAGGAGGGGGTGGGGAAAGGATGAAAGACGCTGCATTTGTGTGGAAAGAACTTCTTGGTGAATGGCAATGAAGTGAAAACCAGGGTTAAAGTGTTCTGTCCCTGCTTCTCATCATTGATCTTGCTGGGTTATATTAAAATCAGCTATCTCTCATGTGTTCTGTCTCTTCCTTTCTTTACAGGGCACCCAAACTGAGGATCCTTGATTTAAGACGTGACCTGAACTGTGAGACAATATGCTTGAGATTGGGACCGCATTCCCTTTCTGTTTTCAGTCATGCATTTCCTCTCAGCACTCTATCCTTAGGATAGAAGAAGCTCAGCATAGAGTCAGGTGCCTCGGGATTGGTAATTCCGGGTCAGAGCCTCAGTCAGCTCAGGAACCCATGAAATTACTAGTGGATATTTCCCTCAATAGTACCTTGAGAGCAGAGCAATTCCTCTCTTTCCTTTGTAGTAAAATTCAGCAGAATGTTGGGTCCTTGCACGTCTGCTGCAGAGATTTGCAAATCGATAGAATGTCTGGGCACAAAAGTATCCTGCAGTTTCTGGATCTGGGGTGCATTGAGCACCTGGAAATGGATCAGGCTAATCTGAGTGAAGTCATCACCATTTTGGCTCAGGAGATCCACCTGAACAGCCTTACTCTGTGTAACACCCCCTTTAAATCTTATAAGAGAAGGAACTTCAGATCTTTTTTCCTCTGCCTTGGGCGGCTGGACAATTTCCAGGAACTCACCTTGTCATTCTTATGCCTCACAGATCAACTGCACAAACTGCTCAGGTGAGGGGGTGGGGAGGAACCTGGGTTCCCTGAACACCTCATTGTTAACACAGAAGAGACCATGCTTGGATCTTCCTAAGTTCCTTGTAAACCATTTCTCTCTTTGCCTCAGCATAGGCACTGCTGGGAGTTTGAACCTAGCTGGGGGAGAGAGGGGTACCTTATGTTGAGCAGCAGATGAGGTTAGAAAAGGAAGCTGTGCGCATTCATTCATTTGTTCATTCAGTGACCGTGGGCAGACCCTAAAAGATGTCTGTAAATATATTGGTGAAAGTCTCAGTCCTTCTCCTATTGGACTTTACAGCTCTCTAGAGAGGAAGGGGAGGCATTCAGATGGAGAAACATTAAGCTATAGGACTAATGCACATGCCCATGGATGGGCCCCAATAGTTAACACTACCAGATAATTTTGCCCCTGTATTTCCCCCCAGGCTTACACCCTGAATGGAGAGCTTGTCATTTGGGTACTAGTCAAAGGAAACCCTTAGTTGGCTGTTTTCCCAGACCCATCCTCGCCAGATACGTGAATCAGATCCAACACTGATTATGTCGTATATACTAAGTGCATGCAATTTCTTCACTTAATCTTTCCCGCAGTTCTGTATAATAATTACTGCTGTGCACATTTTCAGGATTAAAACCCTGTACCTCAGAGTGGTAAAGTAACTTTCTCAGGGTCACAAATCTATAAAGACTGATCCCAAACTCCTCATGGTTAACCACCTTTGCAAACCATGAACACAGTAGTTTATTCTAGAGCCTTAGGTACCTAAAATTTGGGGCTCATTGCCCTCATTCTTCTCAAATAACCTTACATTTTTTTCTCTATAGAGTTGTGCCACCTCAGTTGGATTCACTGTATCTACTTCACTGTCGCCTTTCTCACAGAGATGTCACTGTCCTGTCCCAGAGCTCTCAGGCCACCCACCTAAGGGTATTGAGTCTCAGTAACAACCACATCTTCTCAGAAGTTTATGAGCCCTTCCAGACTCTGCTGGAGAAGGTCTCAAGCACCCTGCAACATCTGGAGATAAACAATTGTATGATAACTGATTCTACTCTCTCTGCCATCCTCCCAGCCCTCAGCCACTGTACCCACCTCTGTGTCCTTAGCTTTGCCTTCAATCCCATTACAATGCCTGTGCTCAAGACCCTTCTGCAGCACTTGACATCCTTGATGAAGCTGAAGTATGTGATTTATCCTGTCCCTGTCCATTGCTACGAGGAATGGATTTTTCATGACCGTTTGGACCTACAGAAACTTGCTGAAGTTCAGGCTCAGATGGAGGCGATGCTGCACGGGGCACAGCGGAGCGACATTAAATGGGTCACTTGTTCAGAGTGACTTCCACCGCACAGGGAGGTGTTTCAACACTGATGTGTGGCCATGAAAGCATTCACTTTTTTTTTTTTTTTGCCTGAAACCCAAGTTTGTAGAGACACATATATAAAGTTCTACTGTTCTAGGAAACTGGGGTTAGGAACACTGGATATGTAAACTGATCTCTATAAAAGAGGAACTTTAAAAAGGAAATGGAGGAATTTGAAAGGTCTGCTGGATCTCTTCCCCACTGCCCTCTACATCCTCTGGTTACTAACCACAGTGTTGGGTATGTGACGTAAGCTGACCCAGTCATGGTACATCATTTCCTTATCCACTCTGATTGGTTCACTTGTCCATTTATGGGCACTTGACATAAGTCAGCTCAATTGAAACTCTTCCTAGAGGTGGTAGTTGTTGAATAATTTTACCCTCTAGGGACCTGCAAACTTCTTGTGTTTCTGATTACCTCAGGTGGCTTATGAGAAACCATATGCAACTAAAAGGAAACAAACAAATTATGTCCACTACCTACTGGTATCTTCATCAGCATATTGCTGCCTGATTTACCAGATCTCAGACCCCTGGCTCAGTTATTCCTTATTCCACACACATTCACCAAGTATCTGTTATGATTTAGGTACTTTTCCAGGTGCTAAGAAAGATAAAGTCCCTGATCTCACTCAGAGTGTAGACATTCCTATGATTTATCAGTTTCTCTACTCTTTCTTACAGGACTTGGGAAATTATTTTTTCCCCCATAGCACAGTATATGTTCGCTTTTTCCCCTTACATATTCTGCTCAAATGATCCTCCCAGACTTCGGACTATGAAACAAACTAATCAAAACAGCATGGGCCTGGCACAAAACAGGCACTTCTATCAATGGAATAGAATAGACAGTCCAGTAATAAACCTATGCACGTATGGTCAATTAATCTACAGAAAAGGAGGCAAGAATATACAATGGAGAAAAGGCAGTTTCTTCAATCAGTGGTGTTGGTAAAACTGGTCATCTACATGTGAAACAAAGATTAGAACATTCCCTCACACCATACACAAAAATAAAATGGTTTAAATGCAAGACCTCAAAACATAAAACTCCTAGAAGGGAACATAAGCAGAACACTCTTTGACAAAAATCATACCAATATTCCTTTGGATAAATCTCCTAAAGCAAAATAAATAAAAACAAATAAAAACAAAAATAATCTAATGAGACCTAATTAAACTTAAAAGCTTTTGCACAGGAAAGGAAACCATCAACAAAAATGAAAAGAAAACCCAAAGATTGGGATAAAATATTTGCAAATGATGTGAACAACAAGGGGTTAATATCCAAAATATATAAACAGCTCATAGAACTCAAAATCAAAACAACAAACAACCCAATGATAAATGGGTAGAAGACCTGAATAGACATTTTTCCAAAGAAGATGTACACGTGGTTAACAGGCACATGAAAAGATGCTCAGCATCGCTAATATTTAGAGAAATGCAAATCACAACAGCAACATATCATCTCGCACCTGTCAGAATGGCTATCATCAAAATGTCTACAAATAACAAATATTGGAGAGGATGTGGAGAAAAGGGAATATTTGTATGCTGTTGGTAGGAATGTAAATTGGTGCAGCCACTATAGAAAACAATATGGAGCTCCCTTAAAAACTAAAAATAAAACTACCATATGATCCAGCAATTCCACTCCTGGATACATATACAGAAAAATAACAAAAGCAGTGTTTTGAAAAGATACATGCACCCCAAGGTTCATAGCAGCACTATTTACAATAAGAAAAATATGGAAGCAACCCAAGTGCCCATCAACAGACGAATTGATAGAAAAATGTGATATATATACACACACACAATGGAATATTACTTAGTCATAAAAAGAATGAAATTCTGCTATTTGCTGCAACATGGATGGACCTAGACAATATTATGCTTAGTGAAATGTCAGATATAGAAAGACAAATACTGTATGATACCACTTATATGTGGAATCTAAAAAATAATACAAATGAATGCATATGCACAATGGAAACAGACTCACAGATATAGAAAACAAATTTTTGGTTACCAAAAGGGAGAGGGAAGGTAGGAGGGACAAATCAAATTAGGGGCATGGGATTAAGAGATACAACTACTATGTATAAAATGGGAAAGCAACAATGATATACTGTATAGCACAGGGAATTATAAGCATTATCTGATAATAACTTGTAGTGGAGTATAATCTGAAGAAATGCTGGATCACTCTGCTGTACACCTAAAACTAATATAATATTGTAACTCAACTATATTTCAATTAAAAGAAGAGAAAGGATGCAAAATTATTTAATAATTTGTTCATATTGCTTACATTTTGAGATAATGCACTGCATTTCAAAGACTTATCAAAAAAAAAAGAAAACTAAAATTAATTAACCATGGTGGTTAGCACCATGCTTACATAAAACATCTTTAGTCATGCCAGTCTGCTTTAAGATGATAACAGCTTAATATTGATCATATGCAAAATCTCAACACATTTACCTCTTTGCACCTCATTTTATGTTATTGATGTCCCAGTTTGTATCTTTTATATTGTGAGCTCTAATGAATTAGTGCAACTGTATTTATTTTTAATACTTTTGTCTTTCCATTTTTATACTAAAGTTAAAAGTGTTTTACCCATGACAATTACAATGTTGGAGTGTTCTGAATTTGACTATATGCTTATTTTACGTATGAGTTATATGCTTTCGTAGGTTTTCATGTTGTTAATTTTTTGTTTCCACTCAAAGAACTCCCTTTAGCATTTTTGTATGGCAGGTCGAGTGGTGAATAACTCCCTCAGCTTTTGCTTGTCTGGGAATGTCATCATTTATCTTTCATTTCTGAAGGACGGCTTTTCTGAATAGAGTATTCTTGGCTGTTGGTTGTTTTCTTTCAGCACTTTGAATATATCATCCCACTCTCTCCTGGACTGCAAGATTTCTTTTCAGAAATCTCCTGATAGCCTTATGCTGTTCCCTTGTATATGACAAGTGGCATTTCTCTCACAGACTTAACAATTCTCTCCTTGAAAAGGGAACCCTCTTACACTGTTGGTGGGAATGTAAATTGATACAGCCACTATGGATAACAGTATGGAGGTTCCTTAAAAAAGTAAAAATAGAACTACCATATGACCCAGTAACCCCACACCTGGGCATATACCCTGAGAAAATCATAATTCAAAAAAGTACATGTACCCAAATGTTCATTGCAGCACTATTTACAATAGCCAGGACATGGAAGCAACCTAAATGTGCATCAACAGAGGAATGGATAAAGAAGGTGTGGTACACTTACACAATGGAACATTACTCAGACATAAAAAGGAATGAAATTGTGCCATTTGCACAGACGTGGATGGACCTAGAGACTGTCATACAGAGTGAAGTAATTCAGAAAGAGAAAAACATATCATAATATGTACCATATATGTGGAATCTAGAAAAATTCTACAGATGAACTTATTTGCAAAGCAGAAATAGAGACACGGATGTAGAGGACAGACATATGGATACCAGGGTGGGAAGGGGGGGTTGAATTGGGAGAATGGGATTGACATATATACACTGCTATATATAAAATAGATAACGAATGAGAACCTACTGTATAGTGCACGGAACTCTACTCAATGCTCTGTGGTGAACCAAACGGGAAGGACATCCACAAGAGAGGGGATATATGTATATATATATAGGGCTGATTCACTTTGCTGTAGAGCAGAAACTAACACAACATTGTAAAGCAACTATACTCCAATAAAAATTAATTTTTAATAGAGATGACAAAAATTCTAGATTGTTGTAAGTATTCAAAATAAATAAGTAAAATATAAAGACAGTCAAGAAAAGAAAAAAAAATTATTTCCTTGTCTTTGACTTTTGATCTTTTTATTATAATGTGTCTTCATATAACCTCGTATGAGATGAAACTGAGGACTTTCGAGTTTCGTGAACTTGGGGGTCCATGTTGCTCCCACAAGTTGGGTGGTTTTCAGCCATTATTTCTATAAATAAAATCACCCCCACACCTCTCTCTCTGTCTCTCTCTCTCTCTCTCCCTCCTCCTCCTCCAGGGTCCCCATCATCCATATATAAGTCCATTTAATGGTGTTTTAAAAATCCCATAGATTTTCCCCACTCCTTTTCTTTCTTTTTTTTCTCCTCTGATTAGATAACTTCAAATTACTTCTTTTTGAGTTCATAAATTCTTTCTTCTGCTTGATGAAGTCTGCTGTTATAGCTCTCTATTATATTTCTAAATTCATCCATTGTATTCTTCAGCTCCATAATTTCGTTTTGGCTCCTTTTTATGATTTCTATCTCCTTGTTGACTTTTTCATTTTGTTCAGGTATTGCTTTTCTGATTTCATTGAGTTGTCTTGCAGCTGGCTTGGCATGTTTAAAACAATCATGTTGAATTCATTGTCAGGCAATTCATGGACCTCCATTTCTATGGGGTCAGTTACTGGGAAATTATCTTGTATCATTGGTGGGGTGTTGGGCTTCCTAGATTTTTCCTGCCCCTGAAAATCTCGTGTTGGTGTCTTCACATTTAAGGAAGCAATCTCCTCCATCAGCCTTTACTGACTTTCTTCAGGAGAGAAACATCTGAACCACTCAGCCAAGCTAGGGATACTGGGGGTTCCCTGAGGCCTCTTCTGAGGATTCACCAGCTCTGCCCCTCTTGTTCCATCTTCTGAAGGAAGTGTTTGGATGATACACGCCTTTTCTCAATTGCACAAAGCCAGGACACACACTGACAGCCTCCTGTTTATTTTCCCCATTTCGGTGCCCTGAAGTGTTTAAGGTATGTCTGTTCTCACCATCCAGCAGAGTGGTGCCAGTTCTCTTTATGCACATGTGCATGATCTGTTGAGGCATGAGTGCACCTTCTGCAGGGGTGTCCACGGTATGCCAGTTCTGAGAGGGAGAGGCATATAGAGTGCTGGATATGCTCGTGGGCAAATTGAGGCTTCTGTA